AAGTCAGCCATAGTAGTATAATATGTATATAATAAATTATATTTGTTCAAATCTATTTTAAATCATTTTGAAGTGTACTAGTAAGTTAATTGGCCTGCCAAAATAATGGATCAGTGTTAAAAAAAGAGCATAAAAATGATAGTGACTCAGGGGTAGCTATACTTATATCAGACAAAATAGACTTTAAGTCAAAAACTGTAATCAGAGACAAAGAAGGTTATTATATAATGATAAAGGGGTAATTCATCAAGAGGACTTAACAATTGTAAATATATATGCACCCAACGTTGGAACACCTAAATACACTAAGCAAATACTGATTTGAAGGGAAAAATAAACAATACAATAATAGCAGGGGACTTCAGTACTCTACTTTCCATAATGGATAGATCATCCAGACAGAAAATTAATAAGGAAACATTGGACTTGAACTATACGTTAGACCAAAAGGACCTAACATATATAGAACATTCCATCCAACAGCAGCAGAATACACATTCTTCTCAAGCACACATGAAACATTCTCCAAGATAGATCATATGGTAGGGCACAAAACACATCTTAGCAAATTTAAAAAGACTGAGATCATACCAAGCATCCTTTCTGACCACAATAGTATGAAACTAGAAATAAATAACAGGAGTAAAACTGGAAAATTCATAAATAAATGTAAATTAAACAACACACTCCTGAACAACCAATGGGCCAAAGAAGAAATCAAAAGGGAAATTAAAAAATATCTTGAATCAAACGAAAATGGAAACACAACATACCAAAACCAACAGGATACAGCAAAAGAGTTCTAAGAGCAAAGTTTATACCAATATGCCCACATTAAAAAAGGAGAGATCTCAAATCAACAACATAACTTTACACCTCAAGGAACTAGAAAAAGAAAAAGAAACTAAGGCCAAAGTTAGCAGAAGGAAGAAAATAACAGATCAGAAAAGCAACAGAACAGATCAATGAAACTAAGAGTTGGCTTTTTGAAAAGATAAACAAAATCAATAAACCTTTAGCTAGACTAAATAAGAAAAAAAGAAAAGACTCAAATAATCATAATCAGAAATGAAAAAGGAGATATTACAACTGATACTACAGAAATACAAAGGATCATAAGAGACTACTATAAACATTATACACCAACAAACTGGATAATTTAGAAGAAATGGAAAAATTCCTAGAAACATACAACCTATCAAGAATAAATCATAAAGAAATAGAAAATCTGAGCAAACCACTAACAAGCAAGGGGATTGAATCAGTAACCAAAATCCTCCCAACAAAGAAAAGCCCGGGATTAGATGGTTTCACTGGTGAATCCTACCTAACATTTATATAGGAATTAATACCAATCCTTCTCAGACTCTTCCAAAAAATTTAAGAGAATGGAACAGCCCCAAACTCATATAATGAGGCCAGCATTATCCTGATACCAAAGCCAGATAGGATACTACAAGAAAAGAAAACTATAGGCTAACATCCTCAATGAATATAGAGGCAAAAAGTCTCAATATACTAGCAAATCTAATTCAACAGCATACTAAAAGAAACATACACCATGATCAAGTGGGATTTATCCTTGGGATGCAAAGATGGTTCAACACATGCAAATCAATAAATGTGACATATTATATAAGTAGATTGAAGGATGAAAATCATATGATCATCTCAATAGATGCAGACAAAGCATTAGAGAAAAATCCAACATCCTTTCAAGGTTCAAACTCTCCACAAATTCAGTATAGAAGAAACATACCTCAACATAATAAAGCCCATATATGACAAGCCTATAGCTAACATCATATGCAATGGTAAAGTGTTGAAAACTTTTCTTCTAAGATCAGGAACAAGACAAGGGTGCCTCTTACCACTTTTACTCAACATCATACTGAAAGTCCTAGCCAGAGCAACTAGGCAAGAAAAAGAAATAAAAGTCACCGAAATTGGAAAGTAAGAAGTAAAATTATCTGTTTTCAGATGATATGATCTTTCATATAGAAAATCCTAAAGATTCCACCAAAAAACTGTTAGAACTAATAAATGAATTCAGTAAAGTTGCAGGATACAAAATCAACATACAAAAATCAGTTGTGTTTCTGTACCCTAACAACAAACTATCTGAAAGAGAAATAAAGAATACAATCCCTAGGGCCAGCCAGTGGCGTAGTGGTTAAGTTCGTGTGCTCTGCTTCAGCAGCCCAGGGTTCGCAGATTTGGATCCCAGGCGTGGACCTACATACCGCTCATCAAGCCATGCTGTGAAGGTGTCCCACATACCAGATAAAGGAAGAGTGCCACAAATGTTAGCTCAGCGACAATCTTCCTCATACACACACAAAAGGAATACAATTCCATTTACAACAGCATCAAAAACAATAAAATACTTAGAAATAAATTTAATCAAGGAAGTGAAAGATTTGTACACTGAAACTATAAAACACTGTGAAACAAACTGAAGAAGATACAAATAAATGGAAAGATATTCTGTGTTGATGGATCAGAATAATTAATATTGCTAAAATATGCCTTCTACCCAAAGCCATCTGTAGATTCAGTGCAACCCCTATTAAAATTCCAAAGGCATTTTTCACAGAAATAGAAAACTGATCCTAAAATCCATATGGAACCATAAAAGACCTCAAATAGCCAAGCAATCTTGAGAAAGAACAAAGCTGGAAGCATCACACTTCCTGATTTCAAACTAAGTTACAAAGCTATAGTAATTTAAACAGTACGGTACTGGCGTAAAAACAAATAGACCAATGGAACAGAATTGAGAGCCCAGAAAAGGCTCACACATATATGGTCAACTAATATCTGACAAGGGAACCAAGAATACTTAATGAAGAAAGATTAGTCTCTTCAATAAACAGTGCTGGGAAAACTTGACATTCACAAGCAAAAGAATGGAATTGGCCATATCTTACACCACATGTAAAACTTAACTCAAAATGGATTAAAGACTTAACTGTAAGACCTGATACCGTAAAATGCCTAGAAGAAAACATAGGGGAAAAGCTCCTTGACATTGGTCCGGGCAATGATTTTTGGATGTGACACCAAAGCACAGGCAAAAAAGCAAAAATAAACAAGGGGGAGTACATCAAGTTAAAAAGCTTCTGCACAGCAAAAACAAAAAAACAAAATCAATAAAATGAAAAGGCAACCTCTGAAATTGGAGAAAATATTTGCAAGCCATATTATCTAGTAAGGTCTTAATATCTAAAATACTTAAGGAACTCCTACAATTCAGTAGCAAAAAAAACCCCAAATAATTCATTTGAAAAAGGGGAGAGGACCTGAATAGACATTTTTCCAAAGAAGACATCCAAATGCTCAGCGTCACTAATCATCAGGGAAATGCAAGTCAAAACACAATGAGCTATCACCTCACAGCTGTTAGAACGGCTAATTTCAAAAAGAGATGTGTTAAGGAGGATGTAGAGGAAAAAGAACACCTGTGCTCTGTTGGTCAGAATGTAAATTAGTTCAGCCACTATGGAAAACAGTATAGAGCTTCCTCAAAAATTGAAAATAGAACTACCATATTGTTCTGACTTTATTAAATTAACATTTGTTTAGTAGAGTACCAGAGTGTCAGATGTTAAAACTGTGGTTCAACAGCAGACCACAAGAGCAGTGAAATAGAGAAGTGTGTTACTCACAGGTCCTGGAGGATGCACATGGCATGCCTCGAGGGGCTACATGGGGAGGTCAAGGCCTGGTGCCAGCAGAGACAGTGGCAGGACCTGGGGCACATGCCTTTCTTAGGGTCCCTGGGGTAGGGTGGTTTGGTGAATTCAAACCAAAAGATTGCAGTCTTGGTAAACTTTGTGGGGCTTTCACCTAAGGGGCACACAAGAGGAAGCCCTGGCAGGCAGGGGAGACTATCACAAGGGCCTTGAGGAAGTCATATCAGGAACTTACATTTGATTGTGACTCTGCCAGCTGCTATCTAGGGCAGGTGCTTACAAGAGGGACTATTGTCAGTTGACGGTCCCCACAGGCTGCTGGGCCAAACAAAACGGATGCTGAGGCAGCAACACCATGGAGTAGCTGAGCTAAACTCTGAACACATATCATCCAGCAATTCCACTTCTGGGTATATATCCAAAGGAAACGAAATCACTATCTCGACGAAATATCTGCAGCCCTATGTTCATTGTAGCATTATTCACAATACCCGAGATATAAAAATGACCTAAGTGTTTGCTGATGGATGAATGGATAAAGCAAATACATACAATGGTAAATATACACAAAATGGAATATTGTTCAGCGGTAAAATGAAGAAAATCCTGCCATTTGCGACAACATGGATGGACATTGAGGGCATTATGCTGAGTAAAATAAGTCAGACAGAGAAAGACAAATATCATTTGATTGCACTTATATGTGGAATTTAAAAAAGTCAAGCTCATAGAAATGGAGGTTGCCAGGGGCTGTGGTGAGGGAAATGGGGAGATGTTGGTCAAAGGGTACGATCTTCCAGTTATAGGCTAAATCAGTCCTGAGGTTCTACCGCATGGCTTGGTAACTATAGCACTCAGCACTGTATTATAGACTTGAAAGTTGCTAAGACAATAGATTTTAAATGCTCTCATCACACAAACACACAAAAGGTAATTAGGTGAGGTGATGAATGTGTTAGTTGACCTTATTGTGGCAATCACTTTGCAATATATACGTGTATCAAATCATCACATTGTACACGTTAAACTTACACGATAAGTAAATTCTATCTCAGTAAAGCTGGGTTAAGAAACAAGAAACTGTTAAAAGTCATTGAGTTTGTGATGAATACCAGGAGATCTGGTGTGGGATGGCTACTTATTCTATTGTATACCTTTTTGTATAAATTAGTTTTTAACGTGATCATATATTACATTTATGATAGGTAAAATAATGTTTTGGATAATGCTTTGACTCAAATGGTGAATATAATATTAAAGAAGAAAGTATTATTTAAGCATATGAATAAAAGTTCCTACTATTGCTGACTTTTAAAAAAATGGGTTTAATTAAAAAACTTTCCTTAGATCAACAACAACAAAAAACACATGGATTTGATCATCTTTCAAAAGTAATTTTCCTTCTATCCTTAAAATTTAACTTCTCACGATTACTAGCTGAGTCTCCCATTTGTCATGGTTCTGTTAAGCTCCTCCTGACAGCACTCCCTTAGGTTGATAATCACCACCATTTCCAGCGTACAGAGATCCCAGGTCTACCATCCACCAGGGGTCAGCCTCCAGTCATGTTTGAATATAGGAGCCCTTGTCAAAGTCAGTTTCTAGAGACCCATCCACTGCCTTCTCAGGCCTAAAGGTCTTGTAGTGCTGGACTGGGTGGCTAGCTTCCATTTTGATAGAACCGGATCTGAGAAAAGGAGACAAACAATGTGAGAAGGATGCCATCTAGTCGATATCACGGATTCATTACTCTTAGGCAACTCAGCATTAATGCCAATACACTGTAATACATAACCATGAATGACAGGCGAAACAGTTAACTGGGTCCAACAGATTCTCACAGGGCTCCCTGAATATGGAAGCCCTTTCTCTTTATACCTCCTTTTCTTCAGTAGAGAACCAACCAGGAGACAAATTAGAGCACCTAACTGCACTTCATCCTGTCGTAGCCTTCAGCAATGCATACGAAACAAAGTCTCTTGATATTTTAAGGTCAGGCCAAACCTAATGTTTTGTAGGTTAAAGAGAATTCTAACAGGATGTGAAGTTCAAGAAAGAAGAGGTAAAAGAGGAAGAATGTAGAGGTCATAAAGGTATGCCAGTAGAGAAGAAATAAGCAAATTTCTATCAAAAATAAAATTCAAATGATATTACCTAACTAATACTGTGTTGAATCTCAAATGTTTGGGAAAATATTGAAGATGAAAATGTTTCAGAGGAAGAAAGCATACAGACCAAAGAACTTTCTTCCCTGTTGGCTTCCTGGGGGAAACTGGCCTCTTTAGATATGGGAACCAAAAAGCTTCCAGCACCTTCTTCCGCTCAATGACTTACACTTCGCAAGAAATCAAAAGCTTTCCTTTCCCTTTAGTGGTCACAGTTATGTTTTGCTCACTCATGATCCTGGAGTAGAAAGTCTTTGTTTTCCCAGGACCCAGGAAAAAACAGTCATGCTTGAAAGGAAAACCATATTATCTTCATGCATAATGCCTAAGTGTCATTCTGATTTAGGCTTCATGATTTTACATGTGAAATAATGGTTGTCTTCTTCTCTTGCTTCTATAAATATCTTTCTTACTTTATTCCAATTCTATTTACTCATGGGCAATAAAGAAAATATTCAGACTTGCTATCAATAATATGAATCAATTCAAAAGGCTATCTTCAAACGTAATTATTGATTGGTCTCTCACAAAGACCGTTGGTCTGTCACATATTTTCCCAAGACAGGTGTACTCATTGGTCACACTCTTTATTCTCACTTCCAATACTGTAAATCCTCTGCTGTGCAAGGCTACACTCATAATCACAAACAATACGATGCTTTCAGTACTTTCTGTCTTATTTATGGTCTTCCAAATTGTATACCTACTACTCATCTAACTTCTAAAATTTTAAATTTCTTCCAACCATATATTTTTCTGCCTCCCTGTACTGCCAGTTTCAGAGAAAGTAGTTACCTAATCTTTCTTTCTAGTATACTTTCAACTTACTGCCATTGTAGTTCTCACATATTGTATATTCTTTTTTTTTTTTGGTATATTATTTTCTATACTTGAATCTTAAAACCTCAAGGAAAAAAGCTTCCTAGTCAGTGTTAGTCACATCCAAGTGCTAAATCATATCTTTGAGGAAATTACTAATATCTGTTTGAATGGAAGGAAAAGTAACAAAACAGGATTCAAATGTAAAAAAATATTTGAGTAAATTATAATTATGGGAAGCACTCGAAAACACATGTTATTTCATAGGAAAGACATAAATAACTTTCTATTTAAGATCTATTTTAAGAATAAAGTTAGAATCAAACCTGGTATTTTGCTTCCATTTGGTACCAGGTTCTTCTCCAAGCAGAATCGTGGCTCCATTGAGCTCCTCATGACAGCAGTCCCTTCAACTGCTAGTCATCAACATCCCTAGTTTCTATGGATTCCAGAGGCACCAGGAGGCAATCTCTCATAGTGGCTGAATACAGGAATCCTTGACAAAACCAGTTTCTGGAGACCCATCCACTGCTTTCTTAGGGGGATCCCAAGGGACTGTGGGTGCTGAACTGGGTGGCTGATTTCCATTTTGAAAGAACTGGGCATGGGAAAAAGAGACATGGAATGTCAGACTGTAAGATGTACATGAACTCAGTATAACTGCACGATCAAGAGTTCAGTCTATCACAATCTGACACATCCCATGAGAAACTGGGGTGACATTAAACCTAACCCATCCCATTCTTATTTGATTTCCCTAAAAAAGTGAGAGCATTTTACCATTTTTACGTCTTAACCCCGTTCAACAAAAGTTTCCTACAACATATTCCTATTCAATTCTAAACTTCAGGGGCTGGCTCCGTGGCCGAGTGGTTAAGTTCGCGCGCTCCGCTGCAGGCGGCCCAGTGTTTCGTTGGTTTGAGTCCTGGGCGCGGACATGGCACTGCTCATTAAGCCACGCTGAGGCAGCGTCCCACATGCCACAACTAGAAGGACACACAACAAAGAATATACAACTATGTACTGGGGGGCTTTGGGGAGAAAAAGGAAAAAATAAAATCTTTAAAAAAAAATTTCAATTCTAAACTTTAAAAAACATAAAAATTTAACATTTTGGACACAAATGTTCTTGTATAACTTAAGCATAGCTGAGTGAAGGCCAAACTAGCACTCTGAAAATATAAGGCTACATAAAATACTTGCATTTTCACACAATATAAAATTAAATTATACCACCTAAATAACATTGTGGCAAACCTCAGTTACTTTGGAGACAGGAATAAATTGAAAATATTTACACACACATACACAAAGGCATACTGACCAAAGGGACTTCCTTCTCTGGTGGCTCCCTGGGAAAAAAAAATGGTGTTCTCAGAACTAAGTTCCAAAGGGCTTCCAGTACCTTCTTCTGCTGACTTGTACAAAACATCAGAAGCCTTATTCTCCCTTTAACGGTGTGGGGGCCTGGAATTGGTCACCCCAAGATATGTCTCTTTGGCATGATTATTTGCGGCTGGTTACTTTGCAGACAGGAAAGCAACTGAAAAGTAGAATTTACTTACCCTTTGTAAGAGACATTTACATTGCAAAGGAAATCTCCATCTGTAAAGATGTCTCCCTCTCTGCACCAGGAAGGAAGGATGACCTTATATCTAGACAGTCTTAATCAATGGGGAAGGCAAGGACTTAAATCTGCATTCGTTTATTGTGCTTGTCTGATAACCTCCTGTAACTGAATCCCCCCACCCCCAACATCCTCCTTTGTCTTTAGCTGGATATGATATTTAAGGTGGGGGGGGGGGGGCTTCAGCCATTTTGGCGAGTTGCTCAGCTTGTCTGAGCCTCTCCCATGTATACATGGTTATAAAGCTTTGTTTAATTTTCTCCTGCTATTCTGTCTCATGTGAATTTAATTCGTTCTCCGGCCAGATGAACCCAGAAAGGGTAGAGGAAATGTCATCCTACCCTACAATGGTCACAGTCACATATTTTCCTTCAATCTCCCACGGTTGAATGCCTGTTTCCCCAGGACCCAGAGAAGAAATGGTTGCACACCTGAAAGCAAAACTGCATTGTCTCCATGGATACTCCCTAAATGGTTATTTTGACCTGGATTATGTGTTTATGCTGTTTGTCAATGTTAGTTAATAATTATATTTTCTCTGCCATTTCAAGTATTATTCTTGTATTTCATTTCAATTTACTTACTAGGCACAATTAAATATTCCCAGCTCATCTGTTAATAATATGGTTCAATTCAGAACATTCTCTTAAAATAATGTTATTGGTTATGTTTTCCTTAATAGGTTCTTCAACTGCCATATATTTTGAAGAAAATTCTACTGCTCCCTAATGCTTTTCTCCCTTACTTATACATTTATAAAGACTTTGCTGTGAAATAACCAGTTCATGGCCAAATAATTACTTAGGAAATTTCTGCATTTTTAATTTTGTTTACGATTTTCCAAAATGCATAGCTATTACTCATTTAGTCCTTAAAAGTTTAACCTGTTTTCAAAGGCAAGCACATATTTTTAAGCTTCTCTGAAAAAGTCAATAACTGACATTATCAGACAAAGTTGTTGCCAAATCTTTCTGCTATATACCATTATAACAGTTCTTATACTTTATATATCCTTTATATTTTACTCATCAACTTTCTGCCATTGACTGGAATCTAGAGAAAAAAATGCTTTATTCAGCTTTATAGCCTCTATTACTAGCACAAACTCTTAAATACAAGAGTTGACTAATATTTTAGATATCTATATGAATGAAATATAGCATACAAGAACTGATTTTAAATGCAATTTGAAGAAATTTATTTCTATGAATACTCTAAAATTCATGTGGTTTTTGCAGAAACTCAAAATGTTTGAGTACCCTGTTTTCATTTAAGATGAATTTCAAGAACAAAATTTTGTTCTCATGTCTAGCTAAGATTTTCCTCCCCTTTGGTACCAAATGCCCTCCAACCAGAATCACAGTCCCATTGAGCTCCTCCTGAGAACAGTTGCTTCATTTGTTAATCACCACCATTTCCATAGTCTCTGTGGATCCCAGATTCACCAAGTCGCAGGGGTCAATCTCTCACCATGTTTGAATACAAGAACCTTTGTCAAAGTAAGCTTCGGGAGACCTACCCACTGACTTCTCAGGGGATCCTAAGAGACTCTGGTCCTAGACTGAATAACTAATTTGGATTTTGAAAGAACTGGACCTGCGCATATAAAAGATGACAGGAACAAATCACAGTTAAAAATGCAGACTTCATGCTTATACACAGGAGCACAGCTAACAAATGACTGGCCACTACATAGTTAAGACACCAAATTCGATACTCCGGAAACTGTGTCAAAGAGTTGAATAGTACAAGATGGTTAGGACAATTAGGTTGGAGAGGAAAAGACTAAGGGTTGAACTGAAAGTTCTATCCAAATAAATTTAAGGTATTTCTTTCAATAAAACTATGCAAAATCAGTGTGGCAGAATTAATAGAATGAGAAGAAATGTTTTCAATGTACAGATGTGAAAATTTAGGTCACCACAAAGAAAAACTTTTTTTTATAACAAAGAGATCTAGCCCCTAACGACATATGATGCCTCAAAACATTGCAAATTTTCCTTCCCTGGAAATATTCAAATAGAAGCTAGTGACTATTTCTTGGAGATAGGGTAGAAAATATCACTTTCTTAGCATGTCTGTTGAACTGAAGGAACTGTAAGTGTCCATGTAGCTCAAAAATTTGAAGACTATGTATTTTTCGAATTAAATTTTATTTTTTATTTCAATGTTTAAATTTTAAGTTGTTTTCAGTTTCTTGGAAAGTCAGTCATTATGACTATTAAATCATTGTGTTGATCGATTCTTCAATGTGAATTGACACGTTCTTTGATGTGTAATAAAAAAACACAACAAATTCTTTCCTAAATGCAGTTTTGAAAATCTTGAGATTCATACACATTATCTTGCTATTTAAAAGTAGACTAATAAATCTTCAAATCATTTAACAAAAAAAAAATTTGGAGAATTCTTTGATGAGACTTTTTAAAAAATCTTTGATAACTTCTGAACAATACCAGATTTGTTGTAAAAATTTGGTCTGTACACAGATCTGCCTCTCTGTCATTTAACACAATATAAGGCTATAATTAGTAAAATCTGGTTGAATTTGAGAACTCATCAATAAATGTGTGAACTGGTTAGAAACAGGCAGTTACATATTCCATATACAAGATAATGGGTTTTAATCTTGAAACCAGACTGCTTAGTTCAAATCTTGTCTATAGTACATTTATTAGCCAGGTGACCATGGCTAAATTACTGAATCTCTATGTCTCAATGTCATAGACATAAAATAAGTTAATAATATTACCCACCTCATAAGGCTGTGACAAATAGAAATGGCAAGCAATAGGATATACTGGAGTATATGAGGGAGCCATCTGGTGCAAACCTAATTTGGTCTGACCTTGTTTTTCCAAAAGGGCCTGACATGACCATTGAGCATACATTGTATATCTGCTTTAAGCATTTCCTATGCCCCAAAGACAAGAACAAAGGGCCTTAAGATAAAGATGCAACTTCCCTCCACACTGGCATTTCCTTAAGGATAAGCATCTCTCCCTAGACTAGGAACTGATTGCTGCGCTCACCTGTGACCACCCAGTTCAAGACAACAGACCTGCCACCCTGCCGTGTCTACTGAGACAGCAGATCTGCTACCTGCTGTGTCCATCAATCACTGTGCTGACAGAGCAGTCTCCTGACTACTGTAAAGGGGACATTTCAATCATATGTGATACAAGCTCTCTGAGGGCCTATAACCACTCTGTACATCCCATGTCTTTAGTGCCCTTCCTTTCTTAGGGAAGGAAGGCCCCAGGCTAGCTAGTCCTCACATTTTGGCTCAGAATAAACTCACCCCAATTTTCATTTATAGATTGGCTATGGATGATTTGCATTGACAGTTGTAATGAAGATTAAATAAGTTAGTATTTGTAAAGTATTTAGAACAGCATCTTGCACATTGTAAGTATCATGTTAAGTGATTTTTCAATAAAAATACAATTAAAGGGTCCAGCCCTGCGGCCAAGTGGTTCAAGTTCCACGTGTTCCACTTTGGTGGCCTGGGATTCACAGGTTTGGATCCTGGGTGTGAATCTACTCCACTCATCAGCCATGCTGTGGAGGCATCCCACATACATAGTAGAGGAAGACTGGCAAAGATGTTAGTTCAGGGCGAATCTTCCTCACACACACAAAAAACACAATCAAAAAATAAAAACTTCCTGTTTGATAATAATGGGAAATTCGCCAGCAGACATTTTTAATAGAATTGGGTTCAAAGCAATTGTTTTGCTCATTTGGTTCATATTTCATGCTATTTTTATATCACCCTATTAATTAAGAACAGTTAAATAAGAGACCTGCTTCAAAGATAGCTACCAATATGGATGAGCAAAATGCCACAGGATGGTTCTGCTTGAATCAAACTGTTAATTCTATCAAGCAATATGTGTGTTCCCTAAAATAATCATGTTATTTCTTTATAGGAAATCATATGATATATGTTTTTAAGGATTGAATTGCAG